GGAGACTTGAATTGTTCTCGCAACCCTAGAGGTGTTGTGGGAGAAGGGGAGCCGCGAGACCCTGAGGGGTGAAGAGAACAAACCAGGCAAAGGATTCAGGATGAGACGCCCGAGCAACCTCTGGACAAACAGACAGACAAACGGACAGACGAAAGGCTGTTCAAGTCCCTGATGAGTGAGTCTACTGTAGATTTACAGACATGAAAGTGTACAATCTATTGTTCCTCTCTAAACTAGACAAATAGACAGACTGGGCTTTGTCTAGGATGCAGATAATGATATACCAGACACTTGTAAAGCCAATTCAAAATGGTGCCAGTTGTATAAGCTATGTTTTGTTGCTTTACGTTTTTAAATCACATTTTATTCCATTTCATTTTGTTGTTTTTCACTAACATACTCTGACACACTATTGTAATGAAACCTAAAGTATTTTAGTAATGAATTATGCATGCATGTGCATGATGCTAATGTAACATGGCACTTTATTGGTCTACAGGGCAGCCAGTCAATCACAAAAGTTTGGTTTGATGCAGTTAAATAATACAGTATATGAAATGTTCCTGGTCTAAAACTGAGTGTACACAAAGGAGCACGCCATGGCTGCTCCAGGGATGTCAGTCTTTAAGTCTTTGATTTCATTTGACATCTGAATCAAATTGGCCTACTTTACCTCTCCTCATAAATGACGAATTGCCGGGAAAGAGCAAAACACTCACTCGCCATGTTTTGAATCCTCGACTACAACTGGAGGCTAAAATCCATAATAAGCATGTCTGTTACTTTGGGGTTTTCATTGTAAAGGCTCAGAAGTGACCATGAAAATCCCAGCCAACAATGGTCCTTCGGCTTCCAAACACTGGTTTGGATATGTGATGATGGCTGAGTGTTTAACCCACATACACATATGTACAAACAAAGTCATCAACAGCATCATTTTGCATTTTTTTCCTCCTGTTTTGGCTTAAACCGAACCAACAACAACATAATTATATAAAATGATAAAGAAAGTCATGCAGGTCATACTTCCCCACTATGCGTTTGTAAATCTGGATCATGTGATTGGAGTAAGATCACATGCACTACATTTATATCATGAATAATAATTGGAAACATTTTAAAAAGAAGAAGACAAAAATGCATTCTATTGAATGATAAATTTTGAATAGTTTCTAATTTACACAGCCAGATAAAGACTCCACACCAGCGTTAATCTCTAACGACAGGACCACAGCACCACGCAGGAGATAATAAATCATTAGGGTGTCAGTCTAGCACCTGCAGAAACCTGAGTGCGCATGTGTATGTATGGCTTTATGTGTGTGTTAATGTGGTCTGTACATGCAGCATGTGGGTAGAAAAAAACGTCCCGTGCAGCAGAAAAGACCATATGGTGCCGAAAAGCGGCCACACGCATCACATGAGCAGTTGGCGAGAGGAACAAACAAGCGAACACCTCCATTTAGCCAGCATCCGTCGCAGCCCGCTCCATTGTTATTACCACACACAACCCAACACACCCCTGGCCGTAAGACACAAGCCCAACACATGCTCGGTGACCCCTGTGTTCCATGTGACCTACAGACCTACATATAGATATTTGCATTTCAAACGTAAAAACCAAACCAGCCCTTCAGCACTACTGGAGAAAGTAAAGTGATTATTCTTGTGGAATCTAACGGAGGGGAAACCAGCACTGTGATCTAACTCGTTCTGATAAAGAGATAATAAAAAATAGATTATTAATAATCCAAAAGAATTAATGAAGCACATGCCCTGCAGCACAGTCTTTTTCAGTGCGTGTAATTCATTCTCCGTAGCATGTGTGCAGTGCATTATTCAGGAAATACACTAAAATACGCTCATTTCTGGAGGCAGCGTTCTCAGTGGGGCATGGAAGCAGAAGAGTATATGTAGCAGACTAATGTGCAAACTTTAATTAACCATCACAATGTTGGCGCAATAAATATTAAATTATGCTAGAGCTGAAAATATGAGTTGATGAAGTCATTTTTTTGAAGCAGAAACCAAACGTTCATTGCTACTTTTCTCTGCTTTATATCACTGTGAACTGGAAAACTCTGGGTTTTGGACTGTTGGGCCGACAGAAAATGGGACTTGAAGGAAATTTTGATGAGCATTTTTCACTATTTTTTGACTTTTTATAGACCAAACAATTAATAGAGAAAATAATCAGCAGATTTATCCATAGGAGAAATTAGTTGCAGCCTTTTTAGACTGCAGTTTTGTTAAAATCATCAACGTAGATCTGTTCAATGATACTGGATTACTCCTGCAAACAATTTAAATGGAGCTAATAGATTTACCTTCATTACAGAATTATACTTTCATATGAATAAATCACACAAGCAAAGCCCAAGTGTGTCTGGTACCCACAGGTTTTCTCTGGTGAGTGCCCTTATGGCTCTGCGTGGCCCCTGCTGAGCAGATAATGACTGACCCGTGGCCCTTTAACAGGAACATTAGGATTTGGCCAACCCTGCCACGTTGATTATGATACCAGCATTTATGCTGCCCACAGCAATAGCCTCAGCAGCAGACAAAAATAGTGAACTCCCTCACACTGAAATCCACACTGGCACTTAGGAGTAAAAAAAACATTGATGTTAGCATAACAGGACAATCAGGGGAGGCTGGCAGGGGGAGAGATGGGAATGGAAACTGCCCAAATACAAGATCAATATCTGCAGTGGAAAAGGAGCACAAAATGCCGAAAACTCACAGGGGAGTACGTCACACCCCAAAACAGATGTGAAGGTCACCGTGTTTTATTTTTCATTTTGGGAAGTTAAATGCTTAAAAAAAGCAGGCACACCCTCCATGTTCCATAACAAGGGAGAGGCTGATGATTATGTATATAAATTGCTTCATGCATTTCTCTTGTTTTCTGCACTGCTGTCCCATTTTTTTCACCACAGACTTCTCTGTTCACCTCCCTTGTTTCTTTCTGCACTCTGCACACGAGCCGGCGCTTCACCAGGCAAAGCTATCTGACTCTCGTAAGCCTTTTAAAGTTTCTACTCTGGCAGATTACAGAAGTGAGATTCACTGCTATTTTTAGCCACGGACACCCTGGTACAAAACACTTTAAAAACATGTTAAAAGAATGGAATAGATGAAAATATAAAGCTCCAGCGGAGGTTGTTTTCAGTCACTAACAGAACTCCCTGACCACTGAAGTAAAATGAACTCACTTCCTAAACTTCCTACTATACACAATGGCTGCGGGCAGGCCGGACAACAAAGTCCCCAATCCTAACTATAGGCTTGAATAGAAAACAGGTCCACATTATTGAAGGAAACTCTTAGTATACACACACATATAGGCCACTTGATCATACTAAGAGTTATATTGAACCAGAACATCTTTTAAGGAACTTTGTCCAAAGGAAACCAGAACACCATGAGTAAACTTCAACAAATATTTCTATTCATTCACTCTGCGTTATCATCTGCACTGTAACTGTGTAAATGGACACGTATGGAGGCAGGCTGGGCTGCAGTCTAGCTCGGACACTGCTGCTTCCTCTCTGAGAGTGCAGCAACCGTCCTGTGACACTGACACAGTTTTTAAAAATGCAACCGCCTGTAGAGCCAACCGGCCTGCCGGCGACCACATTTGCGGAGAAGACAGGAAAGAGGCGGAAAAAGGAAAAAGGCAGAGTGAAAGGGAGAAAGGAGAGGAGAGGAGAGGAGAGGAGAGGAGCTAAGCCGGACTGCATGGTATTATCTGCAAATTCTATGGCACAGACCCAAAAATTTTGAATTCTTACAGCTGAGGGAGGAGGAGGAGACTAACAAGAGTCAGACTGATGTGCAGCCTATAGCTCTCCAAGAACACATCGGTCCAGTATGCGAACAGTGGGACTAGGTTAGAAACCCAAACCTGGAGTGCATGCAGTCTCATCTGGTGCCTTTGATGCCATTAGATGGGGGAAATGGTCAATAAATAAATACAATCGAGTTGCTGCAGCCATGAATAGAAGCCTCTGTTTCAAATGCATCTGAACTACATTCATCACTCATTTAATAGTCTGCTACCTGATAATTAGACAATAATAACACTATATTATATCTGTAAGAGGCAAACAAATAAGGCATCTGTAAGATCCTTGTCATCTCAGTATTGAAGACACTGTAATGCACTTATAGCACATCCTTTCTTATTTCCCCAAGTTTCACATCTCATGTGATGATGACAGCAAAAATCAAAGTCCACACAAAGAGAGCGGATGCATGTAGGCCAGCTACATCTGCCCCACGAAAACAAAGCCTCCACACAGGAGAAGAGGAGGAGCAGGAGGGTCCGGCTTTGGGAAACACTTCGCAGCCACACTGCATATTAAAATAACTCCTTATATAACCTAACCTTTAGATAATATAAATAGATGCAGAGGAGACCCGGAGGTGATTGTGTTTCCAATGAGACAAACAAAGCGATCACTGTAACCTTCATTGATGAGCATCCTGTCTGGATAGCATCCGTGCGGTTACAGAAGGATGCAACTGATAGAAAAGCAGCTCAATAACAAATGATGGCAGCACAGAGGGCAAACGTGGCCGGTGTTTTCACAGAGGCAGCAAAGTGTCGAGGCTGTGTGGCTTTACAAAGGCGGAGCAGGGCAGGCTGGTCATGCTGCTGCTGCTGCTGCTGCTGCTGCCGACACAACAGTAGCCATCCAGTTAGCCAACAGGGAGTCACACCAGTTTGTTAGCAGGGTATCCCCCCTGGCTTGTTTATTACACTTTCACACAGTTATTTTGAATCAATGCTGTCTGGTTTTAATGTGAGAAGCTCCAAAATCTCCGGAGAATTTTGTATCAACACTGTAAAGCCACACTGACATCAACAGACGGGCAGCACAAAAGCACAAAACCGACTCTTTGCGTTTTTTCCTCCGCCGCAAACTTGTAACGGCCGAGCAGCTAGCTTAAAACCTACTGTTAGCCGGCTAAATAAAAGTGTGCTCCTCACTTACCCTTTTTCCTTTCTGGTGTGTGTCTCTGCTGAAGGTGTGTGTATGTGTGTGTGTGTGGAGCCCAGCCCTGCAGTCGCTCGGCCTTCTCTCCCTCCGTTGCTCAGCAATAACGCTTCTCCCTGCGAAATAGCGGCGAGCGGACCAACATCCTGAGAGGAGCGTCAAAGCGCCGGAAGTGTAGACGAGAACTTCCGGTTACCGCTTTCAGAATAAAATCAGAGCGAGCACGCTGCAGAGATTTGGGAGTGATGTGTCCCCATAAGCCTTGGCGTGACAGACTGTGTATCTAGGCAACCATATGCACAATAAATCACGTGACTGCAGATTTAGGAAAAATGTAGTTCAACTCCCCTAAATCTGTGGGGAGAGATTAGCACATAAAAAAACTGGGAAGAGATTTTCATTTTATATCAAAATTATTACTTATTTATTATTATCATTTTTAATGTTTCTTACACCTGCCTATATATATATAGAGTAGTTTATATATATATTACATACATACATATTTGTTATATACACATAAAATATACAATCAAGTTCTTCAGAGTTTTGATAATTTCATTGATTTTGCCAATTTCAAACTCATCCATAAATGCCTACATGATCAGGCTCCCCAGGTGCTCAGTGACCTTGTGGCTCAGTAACACGTGGAGCAGCCAATGGGAAATGTAAGGTTCCTCTGTGTAAACCTTCATTTGGACAACAGCTTTTTCTGACTGTGGAATTAACATGTGGAACACTTTATCTACAGAACTCAAATTGGATCCTGATTTCAAACACTTTAAACTCAAACTGAAATTGTTTTTTTAAGAGGAATCAGTTGTGCAGTCATGACTAATTTAGTGCCTCCTATTCTATGGTGCTTATTATGTACTGCAATTTGTGTCTTGTATTGTTCTGTCTGTATTTTCATTGTTGTTTGTACTTTGTGCTGTCTTGTGTTCTTATTGCTGAGTCATTTATATATGTTAAGGCCCAGCTAGGGACAGGCATTGCAAATTAGCTTAGGCTATAAATGCTGTGGTGTGTGGCATTTATGTATGCATCATACTTGTCCCCATACAAATAAACATTAAATGAATTAATAAAATAAATATAATTAAGATAAAAATAATAAGAATGTTTTAACATGTAAAGCAACACTTCTGTTCTAAATTTCATCATAATTAAGGAGTGTGTCTTAATTCATAGCTAGCTAGAAAACATGTTATGCTTTGTTATGTGGACCACATTTATGCACCATGAGCACTTGTCATACAAACAAACTGTTTACATAGCTTTTACAACTGTGTGCAGATTTTCTAAGATGGTTTAAATAGGCTACAGATGAATATCAGGCATATTAAGACACATGATAGGCCCTTTTTCCAAAAACACAAAATTCACAAACTGGTTAATGTTCCCCTGGACCTTGTGGCTCAAGAGAAAATATTATGTGAATGTAGCTTTTGGTAAGTGCATTGTTGTCATCCAAATTGTGTCAGTCACAGTAATTATTATAGGCTAGGGAAATCTGTGGTAAGTATGAGTCAGGAAAACAGAAAGGTCAGGCTCATTGTATTCATGTAACAATGTGTATTCGTGTGCTTTCAACTGACATGATCATGTAGATTAGACTTTAATAAATCCCTGTTACAATAACATACACAGGTTGAATGCAACCTAGAGACATATACAGCTTATGGTAAACAAAATGCCCCACAGATGGCAAAGTAGCTGACATCATTCTACGCAGACCGGATCAGAGGATTCGATACCCATCTCAATTTAATTTCCAAAACTCCGCCCTTTAATTCTGAAAGCAGATATCATCATTTCCGCAGTGTTAGCTGTTGTGTCTGGGTTAACTTGACTCAGTTCATCCTCAGCAGCGCCTGCGTCTACACTTCCAACAATGGATGCTTCCAACGCGACCAGAAGCCCATGTCAGCCAGAACCGGGTGGGCGGGTTTCCTGGACTCCCTGGTCACGTTTCGGGGTCTTTTGTGACCGTAACATCAGCTGGGCTGCGCAGCTGGAAATATTTGATCCAGCTCAAGTGTACTAGGATTCCCAGGAACCAAAAAGCTACAGAGACGAGCTAAATGAGGATGTGCATTAAAAAAAACAACAGCATCACCTTCAGTCGTCTCACTTTGCTTTATCAGACGGGATCAAACGTGCATCACTTTTCTATTATAATTCAGTTTAGATATTTTAAACAACTCAATTACTATTTACTGTTGTAATATTTTTTTTAATCAAAACATACTCCTAATGGTGCATTTGGGAGTCACTGAAATGTTTGTTTACATCTAGTAACAGATGCCAAAATAAGCCACGTTTCATATGATGACAGCGATTTTAACCAATTAAATTTATTTAAAAAAAAGAAATAGTAATTGTAAACGTTTATATTTACCAAAAATAATAGCCTAAAGCGTAAGATTTTTTAACCATAAAAAAAATTCAAAATCAAAAACGGTGTACGCCTGTTTTTGTCTGGCACGATGACGTAATGACGCTGCCTTGCTGTTGACGTAAGCGCACTCGGTTTGAATCCCGGAAAATACCGGTTGAGAAGGCGGGGCGTTTGTTTAGTATTTATTTTCAAACTGTTTACATGACATGTGCAGTTTTAAAACATTTTTTTTGATATTAGCTATTGTGCGCTACTTAACCACGGTGGCTTTTAATCCGGCATTGGTTGCGTCATTACGTTAAAGTAAGTTTAGATAAGATTTAATATTTTGAGCATCATGGGTAACGTGTAAGCTAATTTTTCACTTGTATTATATTTGTAACCGCCTTAAAGTGTTTATTAGTTTCTATTAATGATTTATCTATATTTTTGAAAGGACTTACTTGTATATTTATTCGATAAAAATCGTCATGGCGGCAGACGCCGTGTCAAAATCGAACCACCCTGTCCGTTAGAGGGGCGTTGGCAGTTGGAGCAGGAATGTGCTGCGCGTGCTGTCGCTGGCGAATGGACAGACAACATGGAGGAACAGCGGGATGTTCAAACTTCCAGGAGAAACGGGAGCTCCAGGTCGTTGTTATCGGCCGGTTCTGCCGTGGCGATGGAGATTAAACGGAAGAAAATACGACAAAGCGCATTATTCCTACAAACAGAGGTACGATGGGTAACGTTACAGGGTTATTTTGTTTGTTAGCCGTTAACAATGAATCACAATGACATTTCAGTTGACGTCGGAGGGAGTCCAAAGTGTCACCAACGTATACACACAACAACTATAACTCAATAATAACTGAGTAGGCTGTGTTTAATTAACATGTTAATAATAACTCACATTTTCTAACGTCTGTTTCACACACTAGCTGTCAGTGCCCCCGGGACAAAGCTAGCTTGAAGGACCAGTTATCCAAAATGGGACATGCCATCTTTTACAGTTAACCGAAACCAGAGCTTTGTCCTCTCTGCATTGTTGAATGTGCGCAGACATAATGCTCTCTCCGTGTCTCTAACATCGCTCAAACTAATGTCATTTCAGAACAAAAGCATGAAACGATGCCCCAGTCTCCTGAATGACACTCTGCAGATAGTAGAGGACATGAATTTGTTGTACATACGACAGATTTCTAAGAAGCTACAGGTGCATATTTAGATTGTAATAAGGAGAATGATGATGTCTGTATGCATAAAACAACTGTGCATGTACATCTAAACTTTACTTGGCCATTTCTAACCCACCAAGACCATGGTAACATATTAAATTGGAAAAAAAATGAATTTAGTGTAAGATGCTGTCAGACATCTTCATACTCCATTTAGGGTAGCATTACATATATTGTAGCTAGAACATCTTTATTTCCATACTTCATCATCACCACCACCATATTAAACCATGCTCTCACGGTTGTGTCCTCCTATCTACAGCATAGTGGTCATCATGAAACCAACTGCTCACCCTAACCAATCCTCTTTCTCCCTCTGCACACCTTATTTCACCTCATACTCCACCACAAAAAGTTGCTCTTGAGTGATGATGTTAAACATTAGTTAAAACATTAGTGTGTCATTGTCAAATTAATTGTCATGGTACCTTCTGGTGTTGTTGCCAGCAGTGGCACTAGAGGATCACTTTCGCTTTAGGTCTTGTAATATTTAATTGTCTTTAATTCACAACAGACCCTGAAAGCTTTAGCTCAATTTGTGCCAGGAAGACAGTGCTTTTGTGCTTTGTGCTGCAAATTACTCTTTCTACTTTGCCAAAAAATCTCAGATCCAGAGGCACACAAGGTTAAGTGCACTGAGCCTGGAAGAGGTTGCAGCTCGTCTTATAAGTGTTCTTGATTGTGTATATGGAGTTTATGTGTGTTACTGTGAGTGATGTAACACATTTAACATTGGAGGGGATTTTTTCCTGCCAAAATCAACATTTAAGGGCAACTTAACTCTCATTCCACTTCAGCAAAGTGGGCAAGTCTCATCATAGCATATTGTTTCATGGACTACTAACACAATTCAAAACATAACTTACAAGCTGCTGGTCTGTTTTTAATGGATTCATTCAACTTTCGTCTTTGCATGTTTTGTCCAAGAAGAACACAAACATACAGGAAAAGCTCGACTTTGAGATGCGAATGCGCGAGGGTGCCTACAAGCTGCTGCTCGCCTGCAGTAAGAGAGAGCAGGTTCTCAACGCCTCCAAGAACCTGCACACCTGTAACGCCAGGATCAAGGCTTATCTCTCACAGCTGCAGAAGAAGAAAGAGGAGCAGGATGCGATGGGAGCAGTCATGAAGTAAGGAACTGGATGCTTTCTGTGATCTTGGGTGTGGACGTTGTCATGTTAGAGCTGCACAGCTGCAGTCATTGGCGTTCAGTTTCAGCACACATTGTCAAACTATGCAGTGTGGGTTTTAGAAAGAGGGTTTTATTTTTGAAGTGCTGTTTTTGGCTATGAATTGAATGTATTGATACGCAGTTTGTGATCAATTGTAATGGTAAACTCAAAATTTGATTTCAGACTTTCAGATCCAGTTTCAGATGAGCGTGTATCCTGTAATGGGACAATTGCAGTGTCTGGTAAGACTGCTCCCCTTTGTCCAAAATAATTCAGGCCTACAGAGTCACAGTGCAGAATAACACTGACACCAAGTCATATTTTTGTATTCTTTAAGGAAGCTTTTTGGTGGATATAGAGCATTTTTGGATCCAACTTAACTCTAAAGGGTGTTTCCTCTGATTTAGGGCTGCGCTTTCCTTTGATGTGGAGGGATTCAGCTTACTTTAACAACAAAGGGAGTAAGTTTGTTTCTTCCATTTAGCTTTACCTCATGTTATTTTGGGGATACTTGCTGTACTAACATACACTTGTGTTTATAAGGCTCCCGTCGAGTTGCGGTGTTCTGTCTGATGCAGATTGGCTCCGAGGTGTTTGACACAGAGATGGTGGTGGTGGACAGATCAGTCACTGACATTTGCTTTGAGGGAGTCACCATCTTGTAAGTATTTATTCTACATGTCTAATATGCGGTGGCGCTGCTGTACAGTGGTGGAAAAATGTGGAGTTATACGATGAAGATGTTGCTGGAATTTTGTTCTGTATTTAGTAATATGAATATTAGAATAATGTGGGTTTTTTTGTCACTAATACTGACACATCTACTAATATGATTACTGGTCACAATATTAATGTTCATGCTCTAATTGAAATGTCTCTGTCCTCTCATAGTAAAGACGCAGATCCTTACTTTGAGCTGAAGGTGGAGCTGTGGAGCTGTGCCGTGGAGGAAGAGCTCACCTTGGTAAACACGCCAAAGAAATTGGCAAAGAAGCTCCGCAGCTCCTTTGGAAAGACCGCTGGGAAGAAGCTGTGCCCTCTGCTGGACAGTCCAGACCCTGACACCTTCCTGCAGTACAACCCCATACCCGTGTACGTACTGTGCTATCCAATAAAACCCTTTACAGACTCTTGGCTCTCTGTGTAAGACTTTTGCAGATTTCAACAAACTGGATTATGGCTTGTTACTGGAACAAAAGGTGTAGCTGCAGGCGAACACAGCTGCTCTGTTGACAAATCACACTGATGGAGTATTGAAATAAGGGTTAAGCCAATATTTGGGGTTATGAATACTAATATGTTTAGCCTGTGGATTATTCTGTGCCAGTAAATTTAACTATTATACTGGGTGAAAAAAAGCATGCTTTAAATGTTCCCGTCTGTATTTTATTTGTATCCAAGAGGAAAAGCGTGCGTAACAGCATTCAGAGCATAAAGTGAATCTCTCAAACTGAACATCTGTAAGTGATACATACCACCTGTTCAGTGGGAGGAAAAACATTGGACTCATTAGGCATTTGAACAAGGAGATAATTTACACGAAACAAAATACTGCAGGGGACGCACATGTGTTGGGGTTAAAGGGTTAGAGTCTTTGTATAATGATGCATCTTTATTGTTATTTATTGTCAGGGTTAGAGATGAGCATGCATCTTTTATGAATGAGCCTGAGAGGGAATGAAAACAAGCCAATGTGGTGTACTTGAAAGAACGCTAAACCCTGTGTGTGTGTTTGCTTGTGCTTCTACCTGTAACAGCGGAGCCAAGTACAGCCTGCTGGCCTACACTACACTGAGCCTGCCCGAGGCAGACGGCAGCTTTCAGTCTCACTCTCTCATTGTCCTCCAAGACGGTAAGAAGCAAAGGCACAGAAATTTAATATGTGGGATGTGAAGGAAGTATGCTTTTTACTCCCTGATTTTGATCAGCACTGTGGTAATTATACAATATTTTTACACCGTTAAAATTGAAAGCAAAAATTACACAAAATAACCTGTGATTAAAGTTCACCTTGGATTACCTGCCTTCCTTTGCGTGAGTGATTAAATGATAAGGAAGTTAGTGCTCAGGCATGTTTTGGTTATCCAGCTCTAATTTTAGGTTGTGAGGTTGCACTATGGTACATTAGCGTTCAGATCAACAGTGCATATTATGATACGGTATTGTTAAATACTTACATGACAGGATGCTACGTGACAGGAATCATCCCTCATGTGTGTTTGATGTCCAGCACTGCACCTGTATAACTGAGAAAAGTAGTTTAGTCATGTGATTTTAACTTTTCAAACAAGACTGGAGTGATGTTTTAATGAGTACTTCATTTAAAAAGAGATCACAATCGTTTTTCAATGAGACCTCTGTACAAAAAAATTATATACGATTTAAACAGATGCACATTACACTATACAAGTGTGACAACCTTTTAAAATGTTCAAGTGGAATAAAATAGCGTAACTCCAACATTGTTTTGAGTTTAGCCCATTTATACACAGCATAGTATTAAAATTGGTTTTCCAAGTTCAGTGTGAACTAAAGGTATGGCTAATGTTACCTGACGTTGTCATACTGTATTTAAATGCTACCAGAGAGCAGAGGTAACCAGGCAGTTTATGCATTAGAGCCTTATAAATAAACAACATACAATGCTGCTACCTTCTGTTTGTTAGGGAGGACCATCCCAACTTTTCATGTAAGATGCAACGGTGAGTGAGAAATGTATCACCGGTGATGAAGCACAGCACACTGTGATACACTGAGGCTTTAGGGTGGAGGGAGAAGCATGCGTATTTACAGTATCACCCAGCACAGACGTAACTGTAGATTGCACAATGGTCTTTTGAGTTGCAGAGGAGAAGCATGATTCATTCAGTACAATAATCCAGTTTTGACCTTCAGTTTGCTTCATAGGTGTTTCATGTGAGTCTTAAAAGTGAGTTTGGTATTCAGCCAGAGTCCCAAGTATTTATAACATTCAGCAGTTTTGGATATGGGCAGTAGGCTGGATACTCTTAGTTGACCTCGAGACAGTATCTTTATTAAAGGCATATAGTAGTTCATTCAAATAAAGATCTCTGCTCCTCATCCCCACAGCTGAGTGGTCATCTTGGCTCCCCCTGTATGGCAACCTCTGCTGCCGCTTGGTGGCCCAGCCTACCTGCATGACACAGAGCATGATGAGCGGCTACCTGAGCCAGAAGGTGCGTTGACTGCTGTTAGCATTAGCTCCATAGCTGGCTCCTGAATGAATACATCACTTCCTTTGTTTTATGTTCTCTGGATGAATTTCAGCAAAGTGTGGAGGGGATCTATCGCTGCTGCAGTCTGTACTGTGTACTGAGCGCTGGACTTTTGTCCTGTTACTTCACCCCGGAGGAAATTGATGCTAAAGTGCAGCCCACCCTCAACGTCCCTATCAACAAGGTAAGACAGAATCCCAGACACTCTCATTTGCATTTTAATGCTCAGTTGTTCTATTAAGCTTATTGATTAAAAATGATTTGCACTCTACTACAGTGCTGTAGTGCTGGAAGAAATCTATTTCTAAGATAAATTAATGTACAGGCAGAAATGTAGCTATTGTTGTCACCCTTATCGGTGTTACTACCATCACTACATTATTATCTCTTTTTAATTGCGCTGTCTGGCTATTAGAGTTTTGAATGGAATATAAACATCATGTTCATTATTATTGATTCACATCTCAGTTCAGAGTTTTCTCTAACAGTTGCAAAATAACCACAAATACAAAATGCCACATTACTCACTGAGATCCTGCATCTTTGGCATTTTGCTGCTGAATTAATTTCTTTTCCTGCAATATCAGCGATGTCCTTTTTAGAGCAATATCTGGAATAGCACTCTGATTTGTATACCGTGGAACTCATTTTCAGCTCGTGATAAGCTATCTGCGTTGTTTCTGCAGGACACCCGGATCCGTGTGATGGAGAAGGACTCAGCAGGCCAGAAATCCAGGAGTCTGTCCATCAGCAACCCTTCACCGGACGGGTCTGAGACCATCGTCTTCACCACGGAAACCAGGGAGGAGCTGGAGGACTGGCTGGACGCCCTCCATCAGCACCTCTATGATCAGAGTGAGTGTGTTTCCGCCTAAACAGCAGCAAGGTGTGTCTGTGCATACATGTGTGTACAGGGCAGGTATGTCTCTTAAAAAGGTCATGTGTGTGTTTGAGAGTATAAAGAGAAGGTGGAGGGTGTGTGCATCAGTGTGTTTGGGCGAGACAAGTAGCTGCACATATATTTCATGAAACTCCTCTTAGCGAGAACAGATAGTATAATCTTTATCTTTGTCTCTCTCTCATGCCTCTCCTTGTTTACAACCAGGCCAGTGGCTGCACTGCTGCAACCAGCTAATGAAGATTGAGGTCGTGTCACCACGGAAACCATCACTCTTCCTCACCAAGCAGGCTGACTCTGTTTACAATGACCTCAGTGAGTAGAGTAATTGGAGCAAGTGGGTGAAGTGAGTTAGTCGCGGGTGGTAATTCGCTGACTGTTTTACAGGATTTGTACGAATCTATTTATAGACGATATGATGCAAGTGTTTAAAACAAAAGAGGCACCTCTGTGGAATAAATGTATTCTATTAACCACGCATAATAGTTTTAATTTCAGTGGTGATGCATGTAAATAAAACCCGTTTACATGCAAATTAGAATATTGGAACGTGGGCTTATGTGTTCCTTGTGAAATGTTGTTATATTTCCTCTCCGTTTTAATCAAATGTGGCACAAAAACAACACCAATATAACATTTGCCTAATCTGTTTGACTTTTATTTCAATGTTCACTGTGTTTGATGTGCAGGTATAAATTCACCCGGCAAGTTTGAGAGCATCACAGACATGATCCACAACAAGATAGAGGAGACAGACGGCCGCTATCTTATAGGTCATGAGGAGGAGAAGGAAGTGCCTAATTGGTCCACTCTGTTTGACGGGTCCCATTCAATGGTAGTAGTGCAGAAGGGTGTTCTGTCCCAGAGCAAAACCTCCACCCCTTACTCAAGCCCCAACCCCAACACCAGCTCTACGTCCATTGGCAGCAAGAAGCGTCGTGCCCCGCCCCCTCCCTCCGACAGAGAGCCTTACGCTCCTCCGAGCCGCCCTGCCAGACCTCCACTCCCTGCCTCTCTTCCTCCTCCTCTTCCTTCATACCAGGAGAAGGAGAACTCCGGCTCTTGCACTTCACGCCCAGCTGCAAGGTCCAAAACTGGCAGACCATCTCTGGATGCCAAATTCTCTGCCATCATCCAGCAGCTCCAGCGGAGCAACGCAGGAGGAGCTGGAGCCATCAGCCGGAAAAACGCTCCACTGGGCGTCCTCGACATACAACCACACAGCCAGCCTCAGCCTCCTCTCCAGCAGCTGGAGCACCACAACCACCACTCCCAGCACGCTGAAGCCGCAGGTGAACACGGCTTCCTCAGAGCGAGTCACGGTCCTGGTCCTGGTCCTGTTCCCGCACCGAGGAGCAAACTGAGGAAGTCTTTCAGAGAGAGGATGAACCTTAAAGCCTTGTGACCTCCACCTGCAACATTAGCCGAATTTAACCAACTAAACTTACTGTGCCACTAATACAAATAACAGAACGTTTCAGCTGAGCTCAGTGACATTTATAAAATCAGATATCACAGTATACTTGACTGCAGCTCAGTAGCAATAATGATATTTAGAGCATGACTGTAAATGTGGACCCACTGGTTTTCCCATTAACATCATTAGCTGCTAGTCAGCCCAACCACCTCCCTCTGTGTCCTTATGCTAAGCTAAGCTAGCTATCTCCAACTCCAGCTTAATGAGCTGATAGATAAGAGAGTGGTATCGATCCTCTCATCATATTTCCCAAACTGTTGACCTATTTCTTTAACCTAAAGGACGGGTGGGTGACCTGCTCACTTAAACAAAGATCCTCACAGTGTCCATCATGACGACCCAAATCCCAGCTGACACCTCATATCACAATATCAATACTGTATTGATGCATCTGCAGCTCCACTGTCCATTTATATACTCTTTCATGTGCAACTAACCCGTAGATGAAATTGAAAGCTGTATGTTGGCTCGAGCGCCGCCGTCATCAATCCCACTAAAATGGAAAGGCTTATTTCTCAGCTCTGCCACTGGAACATGGACCGAAGAAAGTGCCTTTGCAAAAGCACTCAAATTGGAATTGATCCATTGGCCGACTGTGAACGAGTCATTCCTTTTGGAACTATTGACTTATTCCACTTACTGTGACAACTTTATGACCACTATAGCTGATTTTAAGGGAGCAGGATTTTAGGAGCAATCGCAAGCACTAATGTGACTTCTCCATTTCCCAGAGGTCCTAATAATGGAGTGACCTTGGTTTTCAGTGGCTACACACTATGTCCAACATAATTTAACACTGCAGCCTGTAAATGCTATGTGCATAAATGAATGAATGAGTCTTTTGAGTGGCTGAAATAATGAATGCGTTTGTGTTTGTGTTTTGAACATATCCAATACTGCCAGCCACTAAATATTTCAACCACTTAACAGTCACGTGTTGAAGAATGGTCTTCGTAATTACACACAGTGTACAAAACATTAGCTTCAGCTACTTTCTCTGAAATTGCCTGGCAAGATGAAGCATTACGGTGAAAGCTACAATCCCATTTTTTTTATATCTCACCCTCTAAAATTCTGTTTAATCAAGGGGGGGGGATGTAGATTTGGGGGGAGGCGGATTACAGGAGGATTTAGTTTAAGCCTTGAAAGAACCAAGAATGGATTGTACAAAAGGGGATGTTGCTCAATATTAGCAGCGAGTTCAATGGCTGAAATCATCACAATATCCTGTTGCACTTCCTGTAACATCTTGGCCATTTTCAGTTGTGCTTAGTGTGCGAGAGACTAAAGGATATTAAATTACACACAGATGTTAGTGACAGTTATGGTGAAAGCTAACATTAGCATACAGTATTTCAGATTAACTGTGTAGCTGTGGTGAAAGCAGGACATGTTGCTCCTGCAGATATTAAAGGGACAGTTCACCCCAAAATCAAAAATCTGTAGTGAGATTATCAATCTAGATTGTTTTTGTGTGAGCTGTTGAGTGTTAATGTCTGCCTTCTCTCAAATATAGTGACTAGATGGCACTCGGCCAAAAAAAAAATACGTTTGAAAAACTCACCATCAATGTCTTTTTCCAGAAATCATGACCTGGTTACTCAATATAATCCACAGACCTTGTTGTGAGCAGTTTCCTACAGGAACTTTATTTCTACGGAACTACAGTGGCCAACCGTATCACCTTGCAGAAGGGAGCGTGCATCTACTCATGGACGAGAGGCTTGTGCTCGTGATGTAAACATGTTGCCACCCTCCGTGGCTGAGCTGTAACTTCAGCTAGCTCAGTGGTGCTAGGTGAGCTAGCAGTAGATGTGTGCTTCCCTCATCGTAGTAAAACAGTGAGCAATTTCGTGTAGGAACTAATCCTTTCTACCAAACTACACCCACCAACTGTATCACCGTGCAGAAGGAAGCGTGCATCTACTCATGGATGAGAGGCTCGTGCCCATGACAGCGCAAGATGTAAACATATTGGCACCTTCCTTGGCTGAGCTGTAACTTTAGCTAGCTCAATGGTGGTTGGTGAGCTAGCAGTAGATGCATGCTTCCCTCTTCATAGTAAAACAGTGAAGACTTTCATGAACTATTTTCTTTCTACCAAACCACACCCACCAACTGTATCACTGCTCAGAAGGAAGCATGCATCTACTGCTAGCTCACCTAGCACCACTGAGTTAGCTAGCATTACATCTCATTTTAGGAGGACGCCATTAATGTTTACATCTGGCGCTGTCACAAACACGAGCCTCTCATCCATGAGTAGATGCACACTTCCTTCTGCGCTGTGATATAGTTACAAGTTCCTTCAAGCAACTGCTCACAACAAGGTCTGTGAATTATCTTGAGTAACTGGATCATGACTTCTGTAAAGAGACACTGCTGTTGTTTTTTGTCACGTTGAGCACCTCAAGCTGAGTGTCATCTAATTCCATTATATTGGAGAGAAGGCAGACATCTCTACGGCTGATATCTCCAGCACTCGCCAGCTCACTCCAACAGTGAGCTGGCGAGTGCCAGCTCACGGCACTCGCGGCACTTATCAGTCTTTATCTAGACTGATAAACAGCACTACAGGTAAAATTGTGTTTTTGATTTTGGAGTAAACGGTCCCTTTAAGCTTGATGAACATGTAGTCTAGCTGCTTTATGACTGAACAACGACTGAATGTTTTGATCAGAGCCAAACTAATGAGCCCAATTTATATTAATATACAATGTTTTTTATGTCTTTATGGTTATTAATTACACACAAGAGCAATAACTTGTAGTTTTTTGTATAGTTTTTGATTAAGATGTTCTGTAATTCCTTTTGATCATATGTTACTTTCAGCATGTGAATTATTTAGACTATGTGGTCTGTCTTTATGTACTAGTAAGTAGAGATACATTAATCTTGTGCTAGTGCAGAATAATTTGTGCATAGTGTAATGTAAGAAAAATATCTTTGTTTCTCAAAAAAGTGCAATTTCTCTCCTCGCTCTTTTCACTGTTGTCTGGGAAGCTAACTGTATTTTTTATTATTGCTGATCTGCAATAAAACGGCCTACATTCTACCCTGGTGAGGCGGCTTTATTTTTGCTGAGCTTGGAAGTAATACTGAATATTTTTCATGGTAAAGGTTTACCAGGGGGTGGCAATAAAAGTCAAAACATAGCTTTTATTGCAGCCCAGCACACGTCCCATAGAGATACATGCACTGGCACATTTCTCTACTGCAGCAAATACTGGAGAGGCTTCTCTGGCTGCAAGCCCAGAGGTAGCCTGTTGTGAAGATTAAGGCGGATGGAATCTCAAAGCCAGATAATGGTATTACAATAATAAAACCACATTCACACTGCATTTACTCAGGGAAAAAAAAAAGGAACATTACATTGATGTTAGTACACCGGCGTTAAATATCAGTTTATTCAGCCCTTGCTATTTATCTGCAGCTCAGTTAAAAAACACGACTGAGGAAACGCATAGATAGTAAAATATTTTAATTAAATATACAGGAGGTCATATCATACAAAATGTCTTTATTTTTTTGTCTTGCTTGCCAGCTGGGTGATTGGTAAACAGATGGCTACTGTATCAAAAACACTTTCAGGATGCACATTAATGGAAACAACGTGGAGGAGGAGGAAAAAAGAAAAGTGAAACGACAACAAATAAAAAGAGTATCCTAATTCTTAAATTGTAGTGTTCATTTAGATCTAACATGATCACGGTGACCTTGAAACAGAGCAAACAAGGACACAGCTAGATTGTGTAACCGACTTTTATACTGCTTTTATACTATTTACAGATTATAACAGTTTATATGATAACAACCACGCGGTACTATCTACAGTGCTATTTACACAGGAAATAAGACAAGAGAGATAGAGGGGTTGTCGTGAATTGATCCCGTATGAATGTTCTGTACAGGAGCCAGCACTAATGCCAGTTTTACCTACACACAGCAATGTACAGTACTTAATCAGAAATGAATGTCTTTATCTAAGTATTCAGTAAAACTTTACACATAGACGTTTACAGCTTCTTCTTTTTTTTTCTTCTTCTTTTGAAACACCAGACATGTTCGACTGTGTATTTCGACTATCCTGGATTGCAATTATAGTGGTTGTAAAAGCCAGAGCAGGTGTTGTCTTTGCACCTCAGGCTACGGAGCATGGTAGGCATACTTTATGGAGTCTGGTACCTTTTCATCACTGCTAGAAAACACATCGAGCACACATGCCCTGCGGATGACAGACACCAGACCTGTGTCAATATTAACTATCAGTGAATCTTTTCAGGTTCTTTTACTGCCTGACACAGTTAAGCGAAGTAAATAGAGTCATCTAAGCACAAGTACTAACCATCGGGTTGAAGCGTCGCTGTTTAAATCTTATAAACATTACATTTTGTGCCTTACCTATCAAGTCTGGTGTCTGAAAGCCAAGTGTGCCATGTAGTTTTTGTATGAGTGCTGCATTTCAGACAAGAGTGACAGTAATATTGATATTTCTCTACCCTGCTACAGGAGATAAACCTTAACAACTGTAGTGCTAACTCTAATCCAAGACTGCGAAAGGCACAGATATTTGCAAAGCAATAATATCCTAAGTGACAACATTCCTATCAAATCATACAGTGAGTCTTTTCAGCGTGTTGAATAAAAAAAGTCTGTTCACCAACGACAAAAAAAAGCTTTTCAAGTCGAGAACAAAAAGATGAAATGCTGATTTCTTGTGGTGAGCATTCCACAGCAGACGGCTGCTTCATTACGCCGGCCCTACAGACAAAAACAAGCTGCTACAGTCTACTCATCACAAGGGGTGTCGGGATCAAATTATTTTCAATCCGGAAAGTTAAAAAAATTAAAACGGCTTTTCATTATCTCAAACAAAAAAACATTCGCGATTTGTCAACAGATTGAACTGCTCGTGTTGTATGATCTGAAATATATAACGAATAAAAACCTGAACCGAGTAAAACGTGAGTCTACAGTACGTCCGTTACACACAGCACCTCTGAATGTTAGGATAAAACTATCTCATGTCATGCAGCACCGCAGTGAGTCTATGCCGAGGAGTCCGGGTGGATTTACTGTGGCACAAACTGGCGACAGCTTTCAGCGTGGAGACATGTAAACAGATGCAACACCACTGGCTGTCTAAAGTGTGATAATGCACTAAACAGCTGTTGAACATGATGGTGAACGCACCGCTAGTTATATAAAGAGTTTCATTTGCGCTGTCGTGTTACTTGTAGTGTTTTTAAGCAAAAAAGTTTAGCCCTCAGACGCAGTAAACAAATGGCTTTTCTCTGTTGCCCTCCACTTTTCACACGTCCAGAGCAACAACCTGACTCATGGTGACTGAGAGCGGCAAACTGATTTGTGAGCACATACACGTGAGCATTGTGCAAATAAGGATACAACAACAATAACAAAAAAGATACAGTAAGTGGTGATAAAAATAAAGAACAGTGCAAAGTATATAAACATATGCATACACAAATTTAAAAAAAAAAGAAAATGGAATTTTCAGTCAGCCTGACTGATGAGTTTATCAGTCTGTAATCAGCCAAAGTTTCATTATCAGTGTTTGTTTTCGACTGAGCCACAATCCCCGAGCAAAAGAGACAGAAAGAGAAGCTGAGAAAGTTTCTGAGGATGAAGATGGAGAGGGAGAAGTACATCATCCTCTCTCCTCTCTCACAGTCTGGTGCTGGGGTGTACCGAGGACAGCTGAGGTGGTGGGAGGGTGGAGAGAGGGTACAGGTGGTGCAGCAGGTCCCCGTACAGTGCGGCCCCGCCCGGGTGCCTGTAGAAGTGGTGTGGGCTGGGGCTGGCGGCCAGCAGCTGCCTGTGGAGCATCATGGAGTGGAAGGCTAACGGGGGCACGAGGGGAGACACTGCTGACTGGCTCTTCAGGTACTGGAGCCCTGGGTGCTGCTGGAGCCCGTCCTGAGCTCCCGGGGACACCAGGCTGCCGGGCGGGTACATGGCAGTGTAGAGGGGTGCGGCGTGGGGTGGGGGGTAGGTAGTTGTTGGGTGGCCCTCAGGGAGATGGTTGTTGAGGTGAACAGCGTGGGCCGGCTCAGCTGGTTTTAGCTCTTCTGGGTCGCTGCGTCGGATCGCGCCAGCAGGGTGGATTGGCGTCACCACACGGACCTTCCTCTCTGGGACTTCCTCGCTGTCGGGTTCCACGAGGCTCCGCTTGCTGGGCCGAGTGGGGCTGGTGAGGGACGAATCACTTGAAGCTTTCGGGCTGGGAAATGGCTGCGATGACTCTGCTGGGCTCTGTTTGGAGGGAGAGATGGTCATAGGGGGAACTCTGCACGCTTTAGGGTGGGAGTCCAAACCCTGGTGCATGATGGGATATGGGAGGCTGCAGAAGGAGGGCTTGGAGAAGGAGGACACCCTCTGAGAGAGGGGTTTGGAGATTGTAAAGTCTCTGGGCTCATCGTCTGCTTCTCTCCTCTCCCCGTGTGTTTGAGTCCTGTCACT